ATTAGTCAATTTATTTTATTTATCAAATCAGAAACTGCAAAACCAAATGCTTTGAAATCTTGCAGACCTTTTAAAGTCATCATAAGCATTATATATTATATATCATATTTATAAATTCATAGTTATTTATTATACAAGCTGTTAAAATGAGTTTAACAGCGAGTGTAATTAAAATTTTATTCAATTTTGCCCCCCAAGCTCAAAATTTTGGGATTTAAACTGAGAACAATCCAATCATTTTTTTATTTATTTGCGTAAAAATGCAAAATTTCCGTCAGGTTGTTGGGTATTGTATGTGACTGTGGTGATAGTATTTGCTTGTTGCATAAATAATAAATAAGTAAAAAAGTCATCCAAAATTAAAAACTGTGCTTGATGATTAAGTTCGGGAAAATAATGGAAATCATGGGAGAATTGCTTAAAAAAAATCCATGAAGGTTTATCAAAAATTCTGTGAGTGGAAAAGGGAACAAGCTATCGAAGAAATTACGGAAGTGGTAACTGAATATTACCCTAAAATCGCGCGTATAGTCCGCGGACTATACGTTGTTTTTCCTGACGCCGGGTGCGGACTATATGCGAGGCGGACTATAGGCGAGGGCGGACTATACGCTGTAGGAAAACCAACAAAAAATTTAAACGCAAAATAAAAAAAAATATTGGGCATTCTCAATATAAATGAAAAATAAAATATATAACAAAAATAAAAAGATTCTCAAAAGTACCTAGATACTTAAATTTAGGTACCTAAATAGGTAGCAAATATCGAACCTTATCGAACCATACAGACACGCATATTGTCCGCGGATTATACGCAAGGTTGCGGACTATCTGATTTTTAGGAGGGAGATTTAAAAACTGCGGACTATACGTGAGGGCGGACTATGCGCGGGGGCGGACTATACGCGCGATTTTAGGGTAAACTACGTGGTGGATCAGTCGAAAACCAACACAGCGTCGTCTATATGCAGCTACTGGCTACTGGTCCTGTTCCGCCAGTTATTTAAGAAATTTATGATTTTTTAATGTAAAAGAATTGTTTAATAAACTTTGGTTGCTTACAGCTTCAATTTTATTGTTATCATGTTTTTAAAACAGCAATTGTTTTACAAAAAACAAAAATATCACGGCATATAGGAATCTGTAGCTGGACGGAAAATTTTGAATAAAACAATCCGTTTTAATATATTTTTATCTCAATGGGATTTATAACAATTTTTTCATTTTAGTTAATTGGAGCTACATAGCTGAAAAGTTCTGAGTCAGTTATACAAATTCTCAAACAGATATAGTCCGGTCAAATTAGACATTCGGTGCTACATAAATTCGCAACAAGCTGAATTTTGGTACAATTGTTCAAAATACAATTATAAACAAAACCTGAAAGTTCCCCATCATTCCCGTGTATGGAAAAAAATTTATTCAAGGTCAAATGTCAAATAAATGAGTTTTTCGCGATTTTCAGCAAAACGGTAAGTTTTATCATAAAAATACTTCAGACTAAAATTATAGATCATAAAATTATCTATAAAAATGTATTTGTACTTTTTTTTCTACGAGCCACTGTTTCCGAGATATAGCGGTGCAAAAAGTTGTAATCGTCATAAAATGCACACGTTACTACGCCACCTATGAGGTAGTGTACTTTGCGCGTTTTTTTTAATGTGGTTTCCCCAGTAGGCCTACTCCACAAGTCAGTAATGATCCATTTTAATTGAAACAATTGTAAATAATGGATATTAGCAAAAAAAAGCGATGTTGATAAAAAAAAGTAGACATTCATTCATCTGAGTCGTAATTTTCGAATTCTTCTTCTTGATTTTCTCCTTGTTCTGTTTCTCTTCTTCTGCTTCATCCTCGTTTTGGGTGCAAGTAAATTCAGTCAATAACGATGTATCGCAAGCAGCTCGTTGACGTCGAATTGTTGGTAATTCAACATTAGAGCATGACTTGCCTTGGCAACTTCTACACGCTAGAGAACAGAACAGTCCCACTTTTTTGCAACCACATTTAGAACTGCAACCCCTTTTGCAGTTGCAAAAACTTGCGTTTAGCAATTTTTCCGGCGCAGGTGGAAGCAAAGTTGGAACTGGTTCCAATTCATTGTTAACTAACTTCCAACCCCAGTCTGTTGGGTCTTTCTGATAACCAAGCCACACTTGAACTTGGTAATATACCCGAAGAAGATGTTGGTGAGCAGCAGCCGAGGTTGGAGGAAGACAAGCTAACTGTACCTGTTTTTTGTTTTTGGTATTTTTGACGAAACATGCATACCGATGTTTATCTAAGCAGGTAGTTTTTTTAGGAGCTCCGTACATCGAAAGAAGAAAGCGAACGCCACTTGTGATGATCTCATGCTGAGTTGAATTACAGTTTTGGAAAACTTCAGCACATTCAACTAAATCTTGTTTTTCAAACATTTTGAAAACTGTCCTTTTACCCCTCTTATAAAATGCAGATGTCGTATCACATCCAGTTATTGCATGTAGAAATAGTATGTGATTTTGACACTTTGCAAAAGAAGATAAACTTTTAGAAGTATATATTTCCGATTGATGTTGAGCTTTTCCTGGTTTTAAAAAGAAAATAGTTTTTTCAGTTGGAGTTCGAGGAGTGAGCAATACGAGCAAATCTAGATCTTCACCAACAACAATAATTGTATGTGTCGAATTAAATTGCTCTATTGCTGTTTCAACAATCAATACATCAGCATCCTTATTGGCTTGTTTTACCAGTATATTTTCAGCAGTCAATTTTTCTTTCAACATTGAAATGAATCGAGACTTGTTGTGAGTATTTGAAAGAAATTTCTGTTGACTGGTCGGAACTGTCATAAGTTCATCAAATAAAATATCAGAAGATGAAGATGTTGCTAAAGTTCGACGTCGTTGAAAAATATTTTACCCTATACCATATAATATTACAACTCTAGAGATGAATATACGTGGCGTACTCATGCATGTTATGACGATTACAACTGTTACAACTTTTTGCACCGCTATATCTCGGAAACGGTGGCTCGTAGGAAAAAAGTATAAATACATTTTTTATAGATAATTTTATGATCTATAATTTTAGTTTGAAGTATTTTTATGATAAAACTTACCGTTTTGCTGAAAATCACGAAAAACTCATTTTTTGACACATCACCTTCAATAAAATTTTTTCCATACACGGGAATGATGGGGAACTTTCAGGTTTTGTTTATAATTGTATTTTGAACAATTGTACCAAAATTCAGCTTGTTGCGAATTTATGTAATTTCACCCCAATTTTTGGTCTAATTTGACCGGACTAATAGACGATAGACAGACGGAAATATAGAAACTTTCTTATTCTACAAGCTGTGCAACGAACGTACAGAAATTGTTCTTTTTTTTCTATATACTGCCGAACTTTAAGCTCAAGAAGTAAAAAATATTTATATTTGTCACAAACATACTAGTTATCAAATACTATTTTGCATTTTCTATTTCTCTCAATACACTGCATAATTAACATCTTTAATTTAACATCTTAAATTTCGTGTTCACCAATATTACAAAATCTTCAGTTTATCTGTCCTCGTTAAAATGTCGTAGTATTACCACATACCTAGTACACTTCGTCACTTTAATACCCCTTTTATTAGATGTTGGAGACTCTGCAATTGTTTAATACCGCATGATGTCGACATATTTTTTTACAATTTTAATAATGCCAAATATAAAGCAAAATTAACGTCCATTTGTAACAACTTTAATATGATTTGAAGTGTATATTTGATATACTTGCTTTATCTTTTCTTCCTATTTTGTAAGTTTTTTTATAGACATTTTTTCTATATTTGTTATTATTAATTTTATGTATTAAGTTTTCAATATCTGGTTGACCGAGTTTCACTCGGCTCGTTTGGTAGTATTAGATCAGATTAGGACAGATAAATATGCGTATAGTATGCATTTTGAAGTACACGCGCTACTTAAAAATACACATTAAAAAAGAAATTCCATAAGCAGTCTTTGTTTTAAACACTGATAAGTGACATGTAGAGATTAAAGAACAGAAAACTGGAATTATTGTTTGACATCTCATTTGTTACCCAAGTTTTCTCTCTGTCGTTTTTTTTTTCCTAGTTCTCTCTCTCGACTCTAGAAAAAGGTCACAACCACATTCTTACTGCCAGAAGAGTTTCGCCTCTGGTGTGGTTAACATACTGAGTTACCGTGCTCTTTTGTGTTATTCCTAATTTCTCAATCTCAACCCTGCTCCCGAAGATGCCATTTACGAAAGTGTGCGAAACGTTGAGCCCAAAAACTCAAATAACACGGTCCCATCCCCGAAAACGATCACATGTTGACACTGACCGTGGAACCTCTGAAATGAATGCTTGACAAAATAATCTCAATTCAACACACTTTCGTGTGCCTTTTATCCGCTCACTGTTTAGTTTTTGGTAAATTTTCTCACCTCAGGAGGTGAATTTCAACGTCCTCTATACAGTGGAGTATGTTTCGGTACGTACAATTGAAGATAAAAAGGTACGTCAAACGTACTGTCAGACTGTCACCCAAACTTCTCAAATAAAACAATCTCGTGTTCGTGTAGTGTCATCTGATGTTGCCTAGCAACAAATATAATTCACTGCCTGAAAATTGCTGAAAATGCATGAAGCTGTAATTTTCAGAAGTTAAAACTATGATCAATCGATTTCTTGACCCAAAAAACCCCTAACCTGTAAATTTCATCGAAATCGTTAGAGCCGTTTTCGAGAAACCCATTACATATATATATATATACAAACTTTGCTCGTTTAATAGTATTAGATTATAGACGATTATGGGCTGTTGGAAATAAATCTTTATTATTATTAATATTATTACTCTTAATATTATTATCATCTTTGTTGTCATACTAGCCGGTATCTTTTTTTAATTTTTGTATTTAGGGATGCACCAGATATCCACTGGTTGGTTCTACAAACTTTATTCTAAAGTTAGGGTTAAGTGAAAACTCAAAAATTTGCATTTCTATCGGTTTTAAGGTTTCTCCATTTATTTCTGTTACATATAGGTAGATACATCTCCATGTTACAAATATCCATAAACAATACCAATGACCAAGATAAATATAAAACATTGGTTAGAATCTTTAACAAATGCGGAATTTTGCATTCCTTACGGTATATTGTCTTTGCCAATAATCAATAATCAGTAATATTTTGCATAAACATTCAAAAACCGACATTATTAAAGATCCTTTTGTTAATACACTTAAAAGAAGTTAACATCTAAAAGAAAACTGCAACACTTTTGGGAATGTGTCTTGGTGTACTCCAGTAAAATAAACGTTTTTGCGAAAGTATGTAACAATAATTTTTAAAGAAATGTTACTGTTAACTAAAATCTATTTCGAAGAGGCATATAGAATTTGCAGCTATTATTAGATAGTGTCTACAGTGCTTGTTATCTATTAGTAGCTGGTGTATGAATGTAATAAAAAACAAAACATATTTAAAGTAAGTATACAAATAACTTTTACAATAATATACCTCTAATTTCTAACAGCCTTTATGTACCAGATTATTTCCTTCTCTGGTTAATTAATATTTTATGTAGCACAGTTAATCCACATATCGCATTAACATGTCCTAAATATAATTCGAAGTGTCAATTACAGTGTGCAGTAAACGTGACTAATAATTCTAAAATAGTCATTACCGTTGTAAGTATTGAAAATATTGTCATTTTAGGTATAAATTTTTAGTACTTTTCTATTGTTAGATATGCATTTGTTAATAAATTATGTCAAGTGTTGCAGTTTGTTGACAGGATAAGTTAGTAGAAGAACGTGAATCTACATATAAGTTTACGAGTTCGGGGTAACATAACTGTAGGTAACAATTAATAAGTAGGTATTAGATATTGATATACTTTTTTTTTAAATATGTAGTATGTATTTAAAACAGTTCACAAGCAAGACTTCTGAAGAAAAGGTACGAAACGTTTACGTTCCCTCTAAACATAATCATCAAAAAAAGGTTAAAATTTAGTTTTTCCAAAAATAAAATTTCCAGGATCAGAGGGGTTTTCTGAAGTGAAAAACTGTTTCCACAGTGTGACAAACTGCTCGTAGTTTACTTCTTTCTTGCCCTAAAAGCAACACACACTTAGCTGAAAAGAATCGCTAACATGAAATACTTACACAAGACATTTTTTGAAAAGCTTCTTTACACTCTGATGGTTCCAGTCCGTAGCAGGAGCAAACGCTTGTAAATTCATCAACATCGATGCTGCCGTCGCCGCTGGCATCTTCTAGCTCAAACATGAACCTCAAATATTGTGTTTGCCATTCTAACGCATTTTCGGGATTCTTAGCGTACTCGTTCCACATCGAAGCCCATTCCTCCACACTGACCTACAGAAAATATTTAATATTACATAACATATCGAGCAAAAGTTGTTAACCGCAGCTAGCAAGGCATGGTGTTCATATCTGCGCAGGAGTTGGTTGAATAAACTGATCTGACAAGTATGTGGACGGTTTTAAAGGGTTGCGACGAAGTTTAAATTATATGAATAGCTACCGACTTCCCTAAACAAATTTGCAATGTAAATTTTTTGTTACAGGCGTGCATGTTAATTTATATTTAATTAAATACATTTTATTTATTTATTTTTTGTTAATATAATTCACACATTAATTAAAAGCATTACACGACTAAAATAAAAATCTTCGAGAGAAAAGACTAGAAATTTATTGTTTGAAGAATGAGGAGAATGAAATATGATTAATCCAATGAGACACGGAAAAAATTTTTAACGAATTTTTCTCAACCATCTACTTCTATTAAATTAAATAATAAAATAATAAAAAAAAAAATGGGATTTATGCGCCACATTTGATATTATTAATTTCATCTGGTACAAGGTTATATCTAGAAAGTTATTCTTGTTAGATAGATTGATCACTTGCTACGTGCACGTACTAAAATCATTTTAATCGTACTTAGCCGAAAATTCACAATGCTTTTGATCTATTTCAACTTTATTAAGTTTGCATTAAATGGACGACGAAAAAAATAATAACTGTAATGGCTGTACAACTAATTATGGTATATGTTGATATTATTACTCATCCTGTCTCTTCTCCCCACATTTCATAGGAATGGATAGAGAAAAGTGAGAATAGAACCAGTATCAGCGTTAAATTTTCTTCTGATATTATTAGAGCTTTAAATTTACAGTTTTAAACAGTTTTTTAAACACAATTTTGTGATAACACACTTTTTTAAAGTGTTAATTTCTTACTAATTAATTAATAATAATATATGTTATACATTTGTATAGCTGGATAAATTATAACTATTAATAACAGTTGATTTTGCAAATTTTATTTATTTTTTGTGATAACATCACCTCAATACAATTATTAATATAAAAAATACTACTGCGTTCCCAGAATTTTTGTAAAATTAGATGATTAGATATTTAACAACATTTGGAGACGATGTTATCAATTTTTTGGCGATTTACTACGTTTGTGAAAATTTTGAAAACCTACATGTATGATGTTAAGAACTGGTTTGGTTGAAAAAAATCACTTGTACATGAACATATTATTTTTCACACTTTAAATGGGATTTGCTCAGTAAAATTTTGTGATATCGTTATGAAATTTTTGGTTGGGGTGATAAAACAAAATTTGGATACTGTCGAGTATTTACACAATAAGCTTAAAATACATTGACACATTAAACCAGTAGTTTCAATGATTATCTGTCTACTAAAGACTCTAGTAGACGATAGTCAGTTGGAAACGGGCGACCTACTTTTTCATATTGTGGAAACTGAAACTGTAAAAGGTTTAGAAAATGTGAAATTCGCCATCCGTCAAATCTAACCTAATGCTCGGACAAAATAAAAAGTGAAACATATTTTTTACGTTTAAAATTGAAGAGAAGGCGGCAAAAATTTTAATATACGAATACTTGCGCTTTGATAATTTCTTATTCTATTACATATTATATTGTCACGAAATAAATCCATACGTCGCCCCGATACGATGCCTATGGGCCGTCGAGAGCTTTTTAGTATTTGCGGCGGTGATGGGTGAGTCTCCGAAAAAACTCGAAACGGCGTTCTTGATCTATCGAGAGGAACGTATAGGTTTAAAAATAGAGGTCACTGTCGGGAACGAGGATTATTCAGTCGAATCGAGTCCAACGAATGTTAACAGAAGCCAACCAAGTTGCACCGGAATTATTTTGTACATAATCGCTATGTAATTAGACGTGTAAATTTGGGTTACTAAGAAATAAATTGTTGAGTTTTACCCACGCCGGTTTTTAATCACCGTTCAACAATGCATGTTTTACACGAACTCCTACGAACTTCAATTTCATTTTCCTGTAAGTTATGATTTTTTATGAATGTTTATGATGTTTAAAATATTACAGTTTTAAATGTCAAATATTTTACGATCAGTTTCCTGGGAATTGCCATAATTAGAATGTGCAACATTTCCCGATAAGTATTGTGGCTTCACTTTTACAAGTAGTTTGAATTCAGCCTGTTTTTTTACCTGAAAAACGAAGTCTAAGATACATGTAGCAACCTAAGTAAAGAATTAGGAGTGGTTTCTGTCAGATTATATTAGCAGTTTCTTTTGATCATCTGCAGATTATTGTGATTATTGATTAATAAAAACACTAATTTGTGGGTTCATTTTGTGCTGACGTAGATGTAAAAAAAAATTCTTATGGAGTATTATTTATTAATCATTATAAGTTTCAATGGTCAGGTTCAGGATAGTGCATGTTTCCATTCAATTAACACTTTATAAATGTAATAAGTGTATTAAAATGATGACGAAAAGTTATAATCAATTGTGAGTAGGTATACAGATGGTAAAAAATCTGAACCAAGTGTTCAAGCCATGTATGTAGTTTGGACTCCTGTCTTTTGAATATTTCTAATATTTAAATTATCATTTGGAATATATTTGTTGTTATTTATCAAATTAATTCGTGTAGCTTATCGTTAAAATTAAATCTTATACTGTTTTGCTGTTGGGCATCTAACAACTATGACACTAGTCTGATGTCTCTGAAATAAAATTCTAGCACCAATCTACAAGGAAACACTGGGGACTCGTAAGATGGCGATACTAAATCCAAATAAAAACTCTACTATTGAACAGAACAATCATACGAGAATTTGATTATTTCCCATACTACTACTACTACTACTACTATTGGCTACTTTAAAGACAAATTAAGGCGGGGTAAAATTACGGTTGAATTTTTCTAAATTTTTGTTTCAATTCAAACAATTTGGACTGAAATTTATAAATGTGTTTAACATATTAGAGGAAAATAATTTCAAACAATTTTTTTTCAGTGCAAAAAGAAAAAGTCTTAAGCTCTAAGGACAAGCAAATGAACATCTTCTCTTTAAATGATTTTTGTATACTTAATTTAAATAAAGAATAATACTCGTACATAAATTGAAATTACTTCTACAGAGAGAATTTAATTTAAGGGCAAATTAATTGTATGTTTTTCATTACATTTGGAATTGTTATTTATGATACAAGCATTTAAAATATTGTGGTTTATTTTACGAGTGCAGAAGGTCTTACACAGATAAGAAAAACTAAATTTTTAAAACATGCATCCTACAATATTTTTTATAGAGCTATTGTGAAATGTAATGGTAAAATTTTGGAATAATTAAATAATAATATTATTATTTTTATGCATATTGTCATCAAAGTAAAATACAACTTAAATATTGCGAGTGGTGTTATCAAAACTAATTAGTTCGTAGGATACTAAGCTTTTAAAACACTGAATTTACATTAATTTTAGTATTGTTATACAGGGTGTTATTTAAAAGTATGTACAACAAAATTGACAGTTCTTCGCGAAGTCTAAGAAGTCTGAAAAACTTATTTTGTATTATCAAAATTATAAGGGGAAAATTAACCCTTATCCAACCTTTTGACGCCACTGAAGGATAAATAGGTAAAATTAATTTATTTTAGTAAATCCTAGCAAATGTAACAATAAAACTTTTGTCACGACTAAATGTTGCTGTAGAAACGAAAGATGATCTTTTTATCAGAGGCGTACAACGAATTTGGACGTAAATTTTAATAATTTTTATCTCACTTTTACCTGAACTTGTTTTACTTTTAGCACCCATACTTCGAGAGCAATTGCCGATTTTATTTTGTACATACCTTTCAATAACACGCTGTATACGTTTTGTATATATATTTCTTAATTGTTGTAGTAATTAAAGTTATTTTGACAATTTATTCCATAGTTCGAGAACTCATTTTTAGTTTTATAGACTGACATTTCACTAATAAAAAAGTTGATAATTAGTTGTATATACATTTTACAAATTGATAATTAAAAAAAATTATTGCTAATTTAAAATTGACAGATGTCAAAATACACCAAATGTAAGATCTATGTAGGTAAGCAGTGGAATTCGAACCCCACGCCTCTCGCTCTCCGGGCAAGCATCCTAACCACTAGACCACGAGGCCACTTATCTTTGTCTGCATACCGACGTGTTATTGTGCCGCCACAATCTAAAACAATTTTTTGTAATTTTGAGAATTCTGGCATGATTTTACAATGAAAGCAAATCTATTTAATTTCAACCATAAAAACTATAATATAGTGCATAAATAGTAGAACAGTCAAAAATCGTTAAGCGTGCTTTAAAAAATAAAGGAAAAAAATAGATCATATTATGTACAAGTCAGTCCATTACTCATTATTCAGTTTTCTCAGTCACATAAAAAACTGTTTTATTCATAACAACTTGTTCATTCAAGTGTTTAGCAAACGTTCAGTAAAGAACTTTTTTAACTGGTTATTTAGTTATTTATGAGTTTTACTTGGACGGAATTTAAAGTTGTATATGTAGTTTATATTTGAATTGTAAAATGTACTAAATGAGAAAGAATTGTTAATGCCTAAGGATGTTTTAAATAAATACTTTAGCTATTAATCGAAGTGCTATCGACAAAAATGTACCTCTAATAAACGATAGAAATTCAAAATTAAAATTAGAAAAAGGCAGCTTTTTATTAATATTCACGGATAAATCAGTTCGCTAGAGAAATACAAATAGTAGAAATTTACCTGTCCATCCATATTTGAATCGGCTCTCTGTCTCAGTCCGTCCCAGATCTGGATCATGCTTTCGTACGTTTTCTTATACTGCTCTGTCCCAGATGCCCATCCTCGCAGTGTACATATTTTCTGAAAACATTTTGAGTGAATAACTTGCTTAAATAAGAGATAATTAAAAAACATTTTTTTATTTTTCATTAATGATGTAACTTTCTGTTTAAGCTCACGACACCACTATTATAGAAACGTAAGAAGATTAATAGTCCAGAATTGTGTTAACTAATTTCCCTAATTAATGTAGTTGTGCAGCTGTGCTTGGTGCACGAAATGGAATTCATACATGTGTGTGTCCCGAATAGATTTACAAAATGAAACGAGATAAATTTGTGCCAACTTTGGTTAGTGAAATCTGCAACAAAGGCTGCTGGAAGCGTCTAAAACCAAACATTTTGTGAAATAAAACTTGTTAGAATGTCAGGCCAAATGTATGTAGGTCAGCTTTACAAAGAATTTTTACAAAGTTATTACTATTGTCAACGGTTATGCTGCACATTTGAACTCATAATAGCTATTGATCGGATGTGCAGAACTAATGTTATATTTATCAGATGTAAGTCTACAGTACGTGACCGTTCCAATAGAGTACTTTAGAAATACTACCAGAATGTGCCGACATTGCATTTCAATGCAGACCATACACTAGAATGCTGATACAATCTTTGTTGCAGTTTGCAAGTCAGTTTTAGTAAAATATTTCTGTAGAACACTAAATAATTATTATAAAAAATTTCATCTTTTTCAGGCGTCGTCAGTGATTAATGGTCCACGACATTACGAATGCATTTGTCATTACCTGTACTTTTGACGTTTTTCTCATTTCTTATTGTTGTGATCATTAATTATTATTATCCTCAGATTTACACCACTACCATTACTTACGTACACTTTCATATAGCTGATGAGAAGGTGGCGTTGATAAATGCTGTGTGCTTAAGTGGATTCTTATTACGGTTTTCATAAAATATTAATTACGGACAACGAATTATTATTTTCTCTTTTCTCCACAAAATGCACTTAATTCATTAAAAATTTATATATTTTTTTTAGGTAGAAAAATTAATAGAATTTAGGCTGTAATACATAAAAGCAGTGTTATAGGTAACTGTAACAATTCATAAAAATAATGGTTAGTCAGGAATAAAAAATGTAAGAACTTAGTTACTAATGAAGCTTAATATAAGGGCGGAAAAATAATGTGGACATTCAGTGTTATTTTTTGTTATCGGCGAACTCTATGAAATAAGAAAATACTGACAAAGTATGCAATTGTGTTCAAATTAAGGAAAAATATTGCTACTTTATTGGTTAATTCTGCAGGAGACAGTACAGGTGTAAAGAAATAATTAAACTTCTCTACTTTAGTAACGATCTGTGACAGATTTAATTTTGATAAGTAAACATTGTATAGATAATTGACTTTATAGTAAAAATTGGTAATGACATCTTACTGTTTTTTAGATAACCACATTTTTACATTTCGATCAGCAGCTTTGTTTATTTTTGAAGTCGTGTATTAATATAAATTAACTTTAATAAAAACCATGTTTTTAATATGTTAAACTTAAAGTGACACGTTTAAAACATTGATATTGATACAGAGTAAATACTTACCTCTATTGCAAGCTCAAAATCCTTTCTATCGATGGTTCCACTTTGGTTAACATCTGCAAAGAGAAGATGTTTAATTAAAAAATGTTTGGTTATGAAAATATAGTAGTGAAAAATTTGTTCCCAGCACATGAAGAGAACAGATTTATTTTTAATATAGGAATGCCTTGGAGCGTAGATTTTAATTATAAAATTTGAAGCGTTTAGTATTTTTATTAACTTCAAAGATGTTGGTATGCTGTGGCTTATAGATTAAGTTAATTAAAATGTTTATACTACTTTATAATTTTTCGTAATTAAATTGCAACCTACAATATTGGTGGAGGCGCCGGGAGAATAATGAATTTAGATGCTCTTTTTATGACAAATAGTAAAAGTGTAATCGTTTTATAAATGTTTATAGAATATAAAATAATAAAGACAACGGTGTAGTGTTACAGATTAAGTTCAAATTGTCGCACGAAGTTCCCAGGCAAAGAGAGCTAGTGGTCGTTTCCTCTAATTAAACCTAAGTCGACAGAGTTAGGCAACACGTATTCGAATTAATCTTGGACTGGCGACCTTCTGAATAAAAATGGGTAAATTACGGCCAAACTGTATTTCTTAGAAACGTAAAAAACCTCATTTAGCTGTTTTCTAAAACAGTGCTGACTAAAACCTGAAAAGGGTGACATACAAATGACAGAATAAAAATCACTTCCTTTATAAGATTTTTAAGACCGAAACTGCTGCGATAAAATTCAAAGATGTAACTGGTTATTAAAAATTGAAATGGAAAAAATAAAGATAAAAGAGAAGTTAACAAAAGTAACACTTGGAAATCTTATAATACAGGAGAAACAAAAGTATTGACATTTTATTTTACGAGTACAATGTAGACTACTCCACAAATGGAATAGAACTACAAAATAAATAACTTTCATTTTAATTGTTTTCATTAAGATTATGAATTGGTTTGCTGAAATTAAAACTATTTAAGCAGATGTTTTATATGATAAATTATGATGAAGCGGTGAAATCAAATGTCAACATTAGGAAGTAAATATAAAATCCATATTTAAGTGTCCGAATCTTCTGATCAATAAAGATGAAATGAGCGTCTTATTTAAAATATCCAACATTAAAATAAAATATTCCAGTCGTTCTTTTATTTTACGATGCACATAATGCGGTTTATGGCTTCTGTTCGTCGTTCTAACAATCACTTTAATAGTATCTGCAAAATTTCTGCCATAAGGATTTGTTACGTTTCGATAACAAATTGTAGAATTTATTGCATGAGATCATCTCTTTAAAAAGAATTTTACTTGCTCTCATTTACAGTGTTGAACGCAGAAAATAAAAGACCATTTATGTCAAAAGGGATACGACTAAATTTTTGACTTCTTTAAACAAAGGAAAATTTCTAATAAATTACCCCAGCATTGGCTTTCGTCGTGCCAACTGCTGTAATCCTGAAAATTAATTTTGTTCTCGACGTTCCGCTTCAGGGAAAGTGGTAGTAGCGTGACAAGATCCTTTGAATTACATGAAGCATTTAATTCGCAAATTTTTCTTAAAAATGTAATAAACATCCAGACTCTGTCTTAATGTGGTAAAAGCGTTGATTAACACTAACACGTTTATTCTTAAACACTCTGAAAATTGACTCGATACAAATAGAGTTCCGTTTTGAACAATTGATTTATCATTACTAACCGTCGTAATATATTTTAAGACGTTATGATCCTTTAAAACTAAATAACTTAAGTAAGCATGCTTATAAAACATAAAGATAACTAAAACTATTATTAATAAAACTAATATACGTACCGAAAAAAACGTGAAAAACGTAGAGAAGTTTCTTCTTGCGAAAATCCGAGATGGGCATGTTTTGAAGGGGCGTCTAGAACAACATGAATATGGCGTTAATTTAAAACGTAAAAATAATAAAAATACTAGCAGAGGCAGTGGCTCTAAAGTGCAATTAAACGATCGTAATAACCCTTAACAGTAAAATTATAAAATAAGTGCGAACGTAAAGCTGGGTTATTTAAAGTATTGTGCAGTTATATTTGAAATTGTAAAACATTTACACGGTATGGAAGATTGGCGACAAAAATAAAAGAAAATGAAGTCGTATCTTTTATGCGCAGTTCTGAGGAAGATGTATCCGCAACCGACCCAGGCCATGACGAAACTGAAATATGTTTGTACATTATTGTCATCTTCTGTGGGAAGAGTTTTACCACCGTACTATTACCTAAATAACCTACTAAAAAGCAAGTAACATACCAGGAATTCGGATGGTAATTTTGGACTCGACGATACTAATTTTCTTTAGGTTCTTTGAGCACTTAAGTAGGTCTGGTTTTTATCAAGTTAGTGACGTTAATTGTTGTAATAGCCTTAAATGATTTTATCTCTCTTATTCAAAAGGGGTTTTATTTGCCATTAAGGAATTGAAGTTTATGGAAATTGCACTTGATAAAGTGTTGCAGGTTTATTTTATTTTATATAATGATGTAAAATGAATTAGCTTAATACGTGTTATCCTGAATAGTGACGACAATGGTTAAATCATCATTTCAAAATTAAAGTTATCTTCATTCGCTATCTGTTGATAATTAAGCTGGATAATCTTTTAATCAAGTGTCTACCTAATTTTATGCAAATAAGTAAGATTTGTATTATCTGCATTACATTATGTGCTGCATTATAAAATTTTAAAATTAGAAAAACTTGTGTCATAACTTGAGATGTAATTGTAACTTTCTGTAGAATAACTGTACTGACGAATTTTTTCGGATTATCATAGAAATGAATATCTCTGTGTTGCACTATTTGGAATTTTCATTTTAGCTGTTACACTGCTCAGAATTGTTATTGCGGACAGAATATGTTATCAAAAATTTATTATTATTATTATTAAATAAATGTGTTCGGGCAGAGGTGAAACCTGTTATGCTATTATTTACAAAACTATAATAAAAGTAACAATATAAAGTTATTCAGTGCGGTAATGGTCGTAGTTAATTATAAATGACAGTACAGAATTACTTAAAACTACGTAGTTCGGTAGTGAGTTCCAAGAACCAAAAACTCTATTTGACGAAAAGTGCTGTGTACTCCGGGTTTTGAAATTCTCTTTCTGACGTTTGAAAATATGTCCTCTAGTTCATGTATTAGGATTGAGAGAAAATAGGTGCCTAATAGGTGAATTTACAGTTATTAAGGCCTGAAAAGTTGTAATAACATCTCCTCTTGTTCTTCTTATTCTTATAGAGAGTGAGGGTAGGTTTATGGCGGCTAGTCTATCCAAGTGTTACGGACCATTTATACCATATGGCATTCTGGTTACTCTGCGTTGAGTAGATTCCAATAGTTTCTTATCTCTTTCCAGAACAGGAGTCCAAACGTTATTTGCAAATTCTAATATTGTTTGTATTCGTATTGTAATTTGTTTGAAAACAATATATTTCTTTTTTTAGTTCTTTTTCTGTACCTACTTCAATGGCTTCACGAAATTATTTATTATTTTATAATTTTATCAATGAAAAATTGACGTTATTGCCAAAACCATTGGTCCAAATTTCTGAGGAAATTACTTAAGGTTTGCTCATTGTAGATAGCGATATTCACATCTGACGTTTGTCAAATTGCAAATAAAACCATAACAGAATTAATAAGTATGGAGTCTTATTGTGTATTAAACATATTAAATAAGAGCATCACTTGGACGTGCTTTTAACTTACTATTTCAATAATCAATAATTAACTCAAAAGAAATTAAAGAAATAGTTACAGTTGATATATCATATTTTTACCAATGTTCTAGTTTTAGGAAATTGATTGCTGTAAATTTCTAAAATTGAAGACATTTTTGTAATTTTTCAACTAAAAGAAAATAACTATAAGTTGTACTTATGTACTAAAATTTTACGAGTTTATAAAATAACGTATTTACGGAATATATAATTGATGACGTATTGTTTTGTGATAATTATTTTCTTTAGGTTACTGTTTATACTTACATAGCTGATAGAGAGTGAAAGTTTATTGGAAAGAAATAGGACAAGCTTACGTGCGTTCATCATAGGCTCCCTTTATTTGAAAAGTTTTGAATCATAGTGTATTATAATATGTATAATTAAAAATTCGAAAAAATAGAAATAATCAATGAACCTACTGTTTCATACTCGTAGAATTGTATATATTTATTTGTTTATTTATTTATTTATTTATTTATTTATTTAAAAATGCAAAGCTGTTATGCCCAAGAGACCGTGATTTACAAATTTAATACAAACTTCTATTTATTGTGATCAACCAGGCATGTAGGGCGGTCTTGAAATTGGTTAATGGAGGACTCTGGATTATACTTGAGGGCAAGGAGTTTTACCTTCTCCGGTAAGAAAAACTGTCTCTTTCTTGTTTTAAACGCATTTTACGTAGTTTTAGTCGATATTCTCGTATTCTTAGGATCAGCAGTTGTTGAAAAAAGATGACAAAAGGTGAATCGATTTGGGAGAATATTTTGAAGGTCGTGATCGCATTTCCGATGTTCAGTTGTACAATTTCTTTATCTTACGGCGTACATAGGGGAAAGCTTTTTGAAAAGCAAAAGTCGTTCTTGCGGCTATAAGTAGAGTGTGATGGGATCCACCTTTAAAACGCTATAGACGCTATAGTTCTTTGCAAGTCGTCAGCGAAAAGAGTGACTGCGAAGCTGTTGGGCACGATCGATCATGTAAACGGGAACAGTAAGGGGGCCTAAAACTGTTCCTTGTCGAACCCCGTTTAGAATCTTGCTTGGATTAATGAAGCACTCATCAATTTTTACTCTAATAAATGTTTGTAACGACAAAAAACTTGTATTTACTTGAATAATCCGCTTCTCTCACTCCAGAATGCTTAAGTTTTTGCAGTAGGCGACGCGTTGGGCCTCATCATATGCTTTGATGCAGTAACAATAAATTACATTGTTAGGATGATCGTTGCCAACTCTTTTGAATGACATATACTGGATTCTATTAACTTACAAAGAAGACACGTTGCTAATCTAGAATTTTCTAACACAGTCGGTAAATCTGATCATGTGACAATTTTGGCGAATCTTCAATCACCATAATACCGACTCCAAACCAAGTTAGCAGGATGATGATGGGACGAAAATTTCTAGCGTCAAGTTGGTCATTTTTTTAAAGGTTGGTGTTCTCCAATCGTTGGGACTTAGATAGAAAAAACCCACATGTTTTCAGAGTGGCAGTGCTGAATTCGTCAGTTCCGGAAGATGTAGTTTTCTTCAACTTTCGGAGTATAATCTATATTTATTCCTCAAGGAACTTAAGAATCAGCTGATCAATAATCCAAGGTTTTTTAGTGTACTGGATTTCATAAAGACTTTAAGGTTGGGGTTAAGGTAAATTAGTTTTTGAAGCTGGGATTTAAACGCTTCCCAATTTTCGGATATAGTATCATATTATTGATGCCTAGTCAATTTTAAGCAACATTTGGTAGGTAACAGCTGTCTCTGTGGTAATGGTTACTTGGTTTAGCCTTGGTTGTTTTTACACCTGGTCGGTTCCGATACCACTTGGTACAGATGGGATTCGCTAATCAAATTTATCGCAATTGTGAAGACCGGTTTAAAGATCTGGAGGAGTGTAGTGACCATTTCAGCTCAAAATCTCCACAAATGATTACTCTATTGATTCGGTAGGATGGACAGCGTATTGAACAATTTTAAATCTCTATAAAATCGGTAGATGGAGCTCGATATACAGAACCAAGAACAACATCCAGATAACAAGACAGATGAATCAGGTAAATCTTAAGTAAATCGCGTTTCAGTAATAATCACAAAAAAGGTTTAATTATTTACACAACGGCCAATAGTTATAGAAACTTGGAATATAAAAAAGCAATTCTGACATGTATTAGTGGACATAAGAATAAAGAAGAAGCTAGATGAGTAACAATTAATGAGTCATTTCGATCATCCAACACTGTTAGAAAATTTTCTTTTTTTTTAATTTAAAGAATTTTGCGCTTGTAAAGAAAAATGTTTTTACATATGGTTTTATTCTTACAATTAAAATTTAAATAAGTCACAAAAGTGTTGAATGTGGCCTCGATCTTGCTATAAATGCAAACTAACAATTTTACAGAGACAATGTGATGTATAAATAAATTTATAGACACTTTTTAGTTGATTCTGAAGAACGGTTATCACCTGTAAAATTTTTAGTTAAAATGTTGGATCTTTCTTTAAAGTTCTATTTCAGAAATCATGTACTGTTTCTTAAAGCGAGGGCTCTTTTACAGGCGAATAGTGCGAGGGCTTAGGTCTTTTATGTATGGCAGCGTCAATAGGGTCGATAGGGTCGTTACTAACTTGTGTTAGATTCTACCAGTTTCAGTAACCATATTTTCGGATGTTGTGTTTGTTGTAGCAGCATTAAAAGTGGTAACAGCATCAATAAGATTCAGTAAGTGGGGCAAGATTGGGAGAATTCTATATCATGTATGTAGAATATGAGGTTTAACATTTAAAATTGTAAAGTTAATGATCTTATTATTTTCAAGATAATTCTGAAACCACAGAGAAAATATTTTTGAAAATTTTATGGATGAGGTATAATACGAGTATTGTATCACTTTCGGACATGTTCATTTGTTAGACTGCTCAGATCTGGACGGATCTATTATTTGACATCGCAGTGAAGTTTTGTATTGAGTATCAGCTAATCGTACGTGAACGTTCAAGTTTGTGATGAAGTGTGGCAAACTTGCCTCAGTTTTGTACGGTTATCAGCTAAAGAAAAATAGCATTGTTGAAATGTAAACAACATGCAACGTGAAAACTATGTCATGTTACAGCAAGAGAAGTAGTTGTGCTTTCACGCATTTAGCAGTCCGAACAATAATTTAATAGGGTATATGTTGAGTTTGTGTCAAAAAGTATCTTTCTAATTATACCGTGGCAATCACTTTAATTTCTAGTACTCCTATTAATCAAAATTTGGATTTCAATGTTATAGGGTTGTCAACTATCGTAACACAAATGAATTTATATATATACATTATGGTAGAAAAATTAGAAATTTTGGTAAAGAAGGCCGGCATGCTTAGCATAGCTGAGCTAACTCTAAAAATTGAGTTGAGTGAAAGCTTTTCTTCAAAGGGGTTAGTTCTTTTTTTATTTAGAGTTACGTAACATAGGTTGAATGTACAAATGACAAAATTTGGACTGTATTCTTTCTTTTAGTGGGACACTTTATGTTTAAATATATACGTAAATAATAATGAAACACAATATTAACAAAATTGGTTGATGAAATCTTCTTCATTGTTTGTATTTCATGTTTTGTATTCTCCTTTATTTTACTCTATTTCTTGTAGAAAATGTTCTATTGTATGTAAGATGTTAAAGTAAGGAATTTATACAAAGAAAAATATATTTTTATTTCTTTAATATTTAACGATAGAATTACCTCTCCATATAAAAATAGTTACATATGATGGTAAATATTTCATTATAATATTTTATTATTATTATTATTTGGTTGGACTAGTTTTGGACTATTATTAGGCAACTATTTAGTTTAACCAAACAAAACATCTTATCATCATATGCCCAAAATGAGTTTTTTGACTTTCATGGTATTTTTTTTAAGTAAACGGAGTTGGTGTTTGTGTACGAAGATGACGCTGCTGCTTTGACGAACCTCGGTTGTGGCGTCTGGTACTTTTGTATTAAATATTTATCCATTTAAATTAGTCGTCGCAGGAGGTGATATTTAAAAGGGCTGCATTGATTAATTTTATTCTTGTTTTATTCAGGTGTTAAAAGTCACAGTATACTTATTTATTGTTGCATATTTATAAAGAAAAACGTTGCGTCTATTTATCGACTACGATTTCTTGTAGTGTTATTTAAACATTTAAAAAAAATAAAACTTCCATTAGTTGCATTATTAGATTGTATCATACAGCTACCGTCTTCAGCTCCAAAAATGTTTAATTTTTCCATTGCGATTTAGTATTGGTGGAATAGCGAAAAATTCCATTTTTGTTGCCACGATAGATGACTGTACAAACATGAAGCATAAAACCAAGTTTACATTTCAGATGACACCGTAAATCTAAGGAAATATTGCTGTAGATTTTGTACAAAAGGCTTTCGACAAACTTATTGTAAATCCGTAAATGTTTGTTTCACTTCTGCGTTATTTAAATAGACCTTATCGAAGTTTTAGTTTCTTCCAAACAGTCTTGCTTTTGTAACTGACGGCCGCACAGAGTTGAGATAAGTTTATCATACTTCAATCCATGCGTTAAAAACCTTTTTTGTCTATTCCATTAATCAAGGGGTAGAAGTTTCACACATAATCAAGTGATAACCAAAACAAAACCTCGTTGCGATCTCAGTTGTGAGACTGTAAATCTGAGTAGTGTGGCAAATATATGTATTTAAGATAAGTACCTGGACATCGTTTTCAAATCAATGATGTCATTTATACAGTAACTGTTTTGATTTATTGACAATTTTATCGGTGTTATAAGATATGGTTTTGTATATGCTAATCTTATGTTAATAGAAAAGTGTGGCTACGGCTCTGGAAATAATATGTAAAGATATAGAAAGCTTAGATTCAAAAAATTAGGGTTAAAATTTGGTAAAATCTGTCAGACATTTGAAAATGTTGTTCATACATTTGTTTGGTACGAGTCCTTAGTTTTATTGTAAAAGCTTTGATCACTAGACTGTATTTTAAACACCAATTCAAGCACATTTCGTTTTCATTTTTAAAATTAGATTTGCATTGTATGCGTTGGGTATTGGTAGGTACATCGAATTATTGATAATTATTATACATTAAGTAATCGAATGTAGGTATGTATTTACATTTACTGTTAAAATGTTACATGAAAAAACGTTTAATATATGCGAATGCGGGTTTCCCACTTTATATTCTAATTTTTTTTTCGATTTACAAAATTATTTGTTGCAAAATGAAATAGAATATTTGTTGCTATTAATCTAAAGTATATGTACTATAGTATCTACATATATTAAAATAATTTAACCGGCAATTTCATGATATATCTAATTATCTAAATTTTGTTTAAACTTTACCGTGGATAGTTCATTATACAAAGGTTAAACATATTTTTTTACCTCATTTTTTTACATTGCTGCCAACTGTTAAAATCAGGAATTAACCACTCCAGAATCTGAAAGTCTAAATAAAACTTTTAAAATGTTGACGAATATAAAAAAAGGTATACAGGGTGAGTCACTGAGCGCGCTTTCATTAATTAAAAAAAAAAAAAAAAAGATGAAAGATGTACAGCTCTTGAGGACCATATACTAGATTATTTTTAACTATACAGAGTGTTCTGTTTTTAAGACATAACACAGCTAAATTTTCTTAAACAGAATATTCTATACATATTTTTATATATTCTAACTGACGTCTTCTTAAGTTTTATAACCATGGCTTATTATCGAAATTTCGATGAGACGTTGCCAAGTTATTCCAGGTATTTTGAATTTTTTTGGCAACTGAAGCGTTCACGAAAAAAATCGCAATAGAGTTGTTTTTAAAATATGGCTTACGACATTTTGTGAAAAAATAAATAAGGACACACGCTTTGTTGTGGTATAAATAAAATTGGATTCTAATGTAAGTATGTACAGAATAATTTAAAAAAATCAAATTATAACAATTTTCAAATATCGGTATTTCAGTTGTTCACCCTGTTTTATTATTGCGCCTTATTCTGTTTTTTGTTCTATTTCTTGTTTATTAAATATTTTCTATATTTAAAGTTGTTGTCTTCGAATTTTTTTACTTTTTTAAAGGGTGCACCGACATACTAAAAGAAAGCATAAAATCGAGTAAGATGCAGTAATAAAGTATGTGGTGTATTTTCTGAAAAAACTGAAATATCGATAGTTGAAAATTTTAAAGTTTAATTTCCTTTATAAATACTTTCAAAATTTTATTAAGTTGATACCATAACAAAGCGCGTACTCTTGTTTATCTCTTCATAAAATATTGTACCATAGATCTAAAAAGCTGCTTTTCAAACCTAACAATAGCCTAATAAGAATATGTAAAAATATAAAGGTTATGCTATTTAAGAAAATTGGGTTGTGTTCTATGCCTCGAAAACAAAACAGTCTATGCATAGTTGAAAATAATTTTAATGCACCCTACTTAAAGAGTTAACTTTTGTCTATCTGTAATTAATGAAATATCAAGCATCACGCTCTTATTGACTCACCGTGTATATTTTGTCCTGGATTGCGTGTTATGACTATCTTTGCTTTAACAAATGCTTTATCCACTATAATTTGATGCATTTTTGCCACATTCTGCCGTTGCTATTGTTGTGTCCATAAATGATTTGTGTATCAAGAGTGGCTCTGGACTCTCTTTTGTTAATAATTACTATACATATATGCCTCATTACCACGTTAAGACATATTTTTTATTAAGCAGTAAGGAGCGTTGAAATTCAAAGTGCTACAATTTTTTATAGATATAACATCCTTAAAATTTTGATGACTTTTTTGAATTACTACTGAATCTTTGTAAAAATTAAAGCTGAATTTTTGTTCAATGAGTTATATCTTGACAATTAGTAAAATGTTATACAACGTAAAAGAAGTGCATCAATGACTAAAGAAATCACAAGAAAAGTAATTACAATTTTAATGACAAAAAGTCGTCCAAGTAACATGGGTGTTGAAAAATCACTAAATTGTATACATGAGTATCAACCAGAGCTAAAAACGCAACGCAGGCGTCGATACGTTTGAATAGTACCTAAGCATAATCTTATAGGGTGTACCATATGATCAAAAAATAAAGTACTCTAGTAGGCCATGAAATTTATTTTTAAAATAAAGATGTTAGTAACACAAACGTGTTCCTTATTAGGTTCGACAGTTACGGTCAAATAACTGTAAAATAAATTGTCAAATATTAGTAATGCCAACATCGTTATTGGCATTACTAATATTTTAAAAATTAATTTCAGGGCCTACTAGAATTATTTTTTTTGATTATATGGTATTTTGCATGCTGTTTTTTTTTTCTAATAGTGAAATAAGATTTGCTTGTTAAATTATACAGGATAACTGTGAATATGCAAAAAAATGAATTTTTTCAATGAGCCTTGGAAGAATTATGTCTTCGTCAGGACGTCCGTGAATGAGTTGTTTGAGATTTTGTTGTTATTTCTGATTTTATTTTCAAACAAATATTTCACAGTCACCCTGAATAATATATAGTTCCTACAATAAAGCTGAACGCTATTTACTATTTCTATAAAAGCTAAAAGCGCAAGCTAAAACTATAATTTCTATAAAAACCTACTTCTAGTCAAAAATAAACTATGAAAAATATATACATTCTGCTCTTGCGAATATACCTATTTGTACGTACCCCGAAAACACGGGGCATTACGCGGGACATCATTTCACGCAATATTGTCTTTCCATAATTAAGCGTATCCATTCCAATATGGAACAAGTCTCCAATGTGCGACCTAGAATAACACAGTTTCCATAAAACACAATTAAACTGAAACATGAAAAGTTATGGTAATAAATTAATGAAGGTACGCTTGAAGATAACTTTGTAAAGGTTAGAGAACACTTCTTACTCCGGATAGATACCTGTCTTATTTATTTCGTAAATAAATTAACGAAAAAACCCACTAAACAAAAAACGAACTAAGAGTGTTGTGTAGTTTTGATGAGGTGAGGATGATGCATTGAATATATATCTGCACCGTCTCTCTAAGAGTACGTAAGTTCCCAATAAAAAGGAAATCGTAAATGTAAGCTTGTGTTTAGCAGACAATCTGCTGAAACACGGATAAGTAAAAATCTTTCGATTTCCCTAAGCGATCGTTATTCTATTCTTTCGTCTATATGCCACTTTCCACTTGTTATCTAAAAGAACGAGTCTCCTGTTTGTTGTAAAAATATATATCACTCGAAGATTGTACATAAACGAAAATTTTGTTATAACTTCAAAAAAGATATACAAATTGATTGATTATTATTACTAAGTTATAACGACCGTTGTTGGAGTGTCATATTAGTTTAACATTAAAATTTTACTTTAAATTGATGATGTTTTAAACACATGTAAATCTGTTTCAAATCAAAACACAGAATAATAGATTCATTACCAAACAACACTAGAAATTACAATAATACCAAATACTCACTCATAGTGAAATATAAATAGCGCTCGGATGGGTGCGAGTAAATAGACAAACCGCTAGGGCAATGATGCACTTGAACCTCCTGTTAGAGAGATTATCCTCCAGGTGGCTAATTGTATTTCACAAACAAGTATTAATTTTTGTTCAACTTTGTTTTTTGGAGAAAAATTTTGACAGAACAATGATTGTTAACGTACATAGCATTCATTCAGGCCTGGTTACTTAAACTGCAACTTAACCCTCAGTAAATGTAGCGAGAATGCGAGTCTATGAGCCACTTGAAGATTTTTCGCATTTGTTTCGGCTGTGGTTACAAAATATTTTCGAAAACTATTACATAGCTTATTTTCCTAGGAGCTTATAAATAAAAAATGTCTGAGTTGTTGTTACCTGTTTTACTACAATTGAAAATATAGTAGTTCACACAACTGACACTGGTTAATTGTGCCCGATTAGTATGAAAGTGTTTTGTTGTACTATTGTGCCAGTTTTTCCTAACAATTGCAAAAATGTTAAAGTTAAATTTCAACACTGCTAATTTCTATTTGGAGACCGTAATTTTTTTTTGGCAAAATGCGTGCAACTAAAGCTACAATCGGAACCTCACATGGGTTGAGAAAGCACAACGTGGTACAATGACCATCGGATTATGGAGTCTATTTGTTATTAACTCGAGAAAACAATGTATTCATGACTGTATTTTATAGATTGTCTTCAAAAGAAATTCATTTTATCGAACTTCAGTAACGTTGTTTAAAATTTTACATTACACATACCAAAACCATCATATATTTAGCTTCATAAAAATACTGTCAACATCCAAGTTTTTAGAATTATTATTAAATAAACTTTTATTACATATATGCATGAAGCCACGAAGTTCTATGGAAAGAAGATTATAGATTTTTTTCTGCTCCATTTTCACTGCAGATTATAATGTCGATGTCAAGTTTTAAGTGTCCGAATGCTACTGCATAGATCAATTAACATTCTTTGAGTTTAACGTCCTAAACTCAATTAAAGTTGAATGCAGAGTGCGATGAATGAACGTAGGCTATTAAGGTAACATTTTCTAAGCGGAAACTCGATTCTAGTTGCTTATATTACGTTACACTATCCTTCCTCTCTTTGAAATTCTGTGGACAAGTTTATACACTGGATATATTTATTAGATATTAACCCTAAGACCTTCTAATAAGATTACATCTTCCAAGTTTCTTAATGTACCACCACGACTAAAGCGATTTGATTCAATACAGTTTCAGAAGTAATTAAAGTTGTTTTGAAAGTCTAACTACAGTGTGGAACAGTGTGAGTACATACTATTTTTTTATATAATACGTTACATTAAAAAACCAGCTTGATTACTTTTGGTCACATTTTTATGTATGTAACTAAATACATAAAATGAACATGTGAACAGTTTGGTTTAAAAAATAAAGCATTTAATTATTTTATGTATTATCACGTTTATGACACCCCAGAAGCACCGAAAAACCGCAAAAATTACTGGCGCGGTTCGCTAACCATGTTGCCATTATTTAGGACCTAAAATATATTTTTGTAAAATTTTACGGAGTGTTTTATAATAATCAGCCAAGAATCTTGCAACGCTGAATGAATTGAAAGTGTTGTGACGTCTGATAAGAGTGATAACAAATTTCTCGGGGAAAGTTTATTAGCAAGATCTAGTCCTGATGTAAAACAAGATTTGTCATGATATTTCGTTATTTAGAATAGCACTTCTAATTGAATTTTTGTTGTGTTCAATTACATTGTGACTATAGAGTGATAAATCACGATGCTTCCAACCACCGCCGGAACATCTCTTAAGTACTTTTTGTTTTATTTCTTGTCAGTTTTGCTAATCTATAATTATTGATTTTTGTTAAATGAATGAAACCAATATTTTTAGATTCTTCTTCTACGCCAGAGTTACACATTATAACCTCAGTTATCAGATCACTATAAGTATGTGTTTAAAACATTTTCGGTCGCTGTTGTCATATCATGCAATAGATATGCAATCGCTAATGCCTTTGAAATAGATTTCCGCATATGAATCTGCGACATTAGAAAGTTATAGTAATTTTTTAGATATGCCAAAATTGTTTCTCAGACCTATTTTTCTCACATTTACAAAAATCAATAAAGGCAAAAAAAGTATTATGAAAAAATCATACGTATAAATGTTGTTTAATTTGTATAATTTGTTCTACATAGTAATGAATTACAAGTTGTGATTAAATTAAATGTACACGTAAAATGTTTTATTGTCCCAACAAAGTATTTTTAATTTGGTTAATTTATAAAATGTTGTGTACAGGACTTGTGTGCGAACCGTTTGAAAAACATTTCCATAAAAGATTTAGTTTCCTTAGACGATTTTTATTCTTAGCGAAACAAATAAAAGCAGAGAAGATTGCATTCAGCTTTGGTGAGTCGGTAGTTTACTAATGCAGTTCTTTGATAACGTTTGCAAAGAAGATCAATGCCACATATATAGACTTCGCGGTACTTGTTCAGTTAGCTTTTGGTTAGGAGATCTATTCTACCTGAATATTGGAAACATATGATACAGACGGAATGAAAGTATCCGAGGTAAATATTTAGCATTTTATATGTGACAACCGCTTTTACTTTCATAACATAACAGTCTTAAACTCGTGCTACAAAAATAGATATTATTATTATTTCACAAGAATGAATCTTACACATCGACTGAAAGTGTTAAAAACTTAGGTTATTTCAGCAGAAAAATGAAATCGTATAGTTTCTCTACAATTAAATCTCAGATTAATTATCATCTATACCATTTTTTACTGCGGCACGTGTAAAGATATTAATAAAATTCCCTTTATCTCTGAAGGACAACAATTACCGAATGCAGATCAAAATATATTTTCGAAAAGTTTTGTGATACCAATAGTGCTCAATAATTTTTGCCACAGGTACACCCAATTACAAGAAAATTTTACTATATTTATTAGCAGTATATTAACATATATAAAAAATTAAAACGAAACACCTAGTCGTTAAAAACAAGATGACTGACTGACTTGCCTACCAAATAATTCATTCCAACTTCTAAATAATTCCTTACACGATAGCATTGAAGTTACTAATACTAAGAAAAGATAAGATTTGATCTATTTGTAAATATTGTAAATACCATACTTATTTGTTTAAGCTGATCTTAGAAATTTAAATTCATTACCAGCTTTGAATTGAACAGATTTATAGTTTATTATATTAAATAAAAAAACGATATTAATTAAATAAGGAAGCAAATATACAGTACCTTAGTAACTAGTTATACCATACAAAATTAGATTATACAAAAATATAGGAGATTTATTTTCATGTTATACATAGATGATGAAAAATTGTTCCACTTTCAGGGCGCAGCTATTTAACGTAGAAGTTTTTTGCAACTTATAAGTCAAATAAGAAAGTAACGGTCGTAAATTATACTCCTGTTTTCTTTTTGCACCTTCGTAGTATCTAACGTAGTGTCCCCTGTCTGATAAATAGACACAAGTGTCAGAAAATTGCAGTTCGTAATTTGTTTGACAAAAAAAGCCATCAGTTATGTCGGACTCCTTGAAGTCAGTGTGCACTCCTTCAGGCTGATCATTACTACTCCTATTATTTATCATCCTAGATTCGTAATCGCTGATATCTGATATATTTTCTCTATAAATCCACGCTAATAAGGGGAAAATTAACCTGAACAATACATATAAATAGGTATGTGTTTATGTATAATAGCTATTTATGTATTAAGAGCATAATTAGAGAGATTATGGTACGAAGGAATGTTTAAAGCCCGACGAAGGAGGGCTTTTAATTTCCCGAGGGCCACAATCGACAATTATGCCCGTGGTACATACTGTATTACTTCCTGAGTGCAAGCTAATCAAATATTAAACAGGTATCGTATAGATGGTAAAACGCTAGCCAAAATTTGTATAATTATTTCCACCAACAACGGGATGACGTCATTTCCAAAATTTACAATAGTAAGGGTGGATTTCACCAACCTCAGTTAAAGTTAACGGACAGTTAAAAATAATCGTTGTTATCATTATAATAATCGCTTCTATGGATTTACTCTATCGTTAACTTTAACTGAGGTTGGTGAAATTCACCTTAAATCTTACTTAAATTTTATAAAATAAGATACTTCTGGACTTGTGGTTTATGAATCCGTGTTGAGTTTTTACCATAGACATCCAAATAAAAAAAAATATATGAAAATTTTATAACATTTTTAAATTTAGCTTTGAAACTGCTGATGACGTCATCTCAAA